GAATTCTGAGAGGAAACGGAAATTCCATTTGGCATAATGAAAATCAATGGACGGATTTTGCTTTTCCTCTACCCATCTCTGATTTCAGCAAAGGACTCAGGAAGAGACAGAAAATCGTTTAAAAATTCGGAAAAGTGTCTCCATTAAAGGCAACTTTACTCTAGCCATGTTGCAAACATGTTTATTTACCATATAAGCTGTTCCAAGCACATCTAATCTATGCATAATTATTATGAAAATATCCCGAAGCTTATGCGCTCGGCACACCTGCGTCTTGGCCAAAAAGTAAAAGGCTTAGGGCCAAAAGAGACCTCAACCACAGGCGGAGGCTCATTATTATGCACAAGCTGTACCCAAGCTGAAAATTACATTTTGATGTCCTACATCGTTGAGTTTTGTTGATATTTTAATGGATTTGCTATCGAGAAAATTTCCGTAGCCTGAAGCCTGTCACATTGAATTTGCTTTTTGAATTGTGTATGAATCTAACCGCAGGGGAAATCTATAGACACGTAACAGGATTCCTTGTGCAAACAAAATTTATAAAAAATAAAAATGTGAAAGCATTTGCTGCGGATTTAGGGACCTTTAACATGTGTCAAATTCAGACAACCTAAATAAAAAACCAGGACCCCCACTAATCCCCTCTAATTGTTCATTAAATCCCCTCTAACGCTCAATCGACATCCATCTTCCCAGGGCGAGGACGACACCTCGTTCCCCCGAAAAGTTCCTCACACGCTTCCAAGCCATAAATTCCAATTAATTTGTCGCATTCTATCTTCACAGACCTTCGCCCTTTCTTATCTCAGTTTTTTTTGGGAGACCCTCTATGGGAATACGCAAATCATTGTTTTATAGCAATTTAATTTTCTTTTCTGCTGCAATAAATAAATAAAAAGGGAGCGACAAAAGGCTCCTCCGAAAAGGAAATAAAAAAATCTAAATCAACTGAGAGCTTTGTTATTTATTTATAACAAATTGCCCGATTACGTTGCTGTTTTTCTTCAAAAGTGTATTAATATTTAAAATCAAGACATTTGAGAGTCATTCTTGCATCTCAAATATTTTATTAGAAAAGTGTTAAAAAAAAGAGACATGAAGTTTGATTTTAAATTAAATTACTTATACATGTTTTCCATTTAAGATGAGAATTATTTTTAATAGTTCTAAATACTACCGAAAATTGAATTTCAGGTTGAATGGCCAGTCTACTACCATTTGATATTTGCCAACTGCAGTTTCCGGCTTAAATGTACGCCATAAAATGCCAGGCAGACAATAGCCACTGGATGGTGTGGGAAAATGATGGCCAGGACCTACTCGACAACTCCTTGCGGCTTTATTGCATGCAAATATACAACACAACACCAAACGGACTCTGGGACTGCCAGACAGTTGGCCGAGACACGTGAAATGATGTGCAAATCTTATTAACAATTGCTGCCAGGAACAGGCCACAGACCAGAGGCAGAAGTAGAGATACCAACCGAATGGATTGGATCCCACTTTGGGTTCGCCTCTAGTCTGCAGCCGGACTCCTTTTTGGTCTCAGACTTCTCAGGTTCTTGGCTGCAGTTGTGTTGAGTGCAGTTCTGTTGATACCGGGATCCATTGGGGTTTCTCCTGGTAAGGAAAATGGTTATGGAGAAAATAAAGAGTTCGCTTAAGGTTAAAGTAGTCTAGGGAGCCATGTCTAGAAATTGCATTAGAAATGCATAATTTTCAAGAAGATAAATAATACAATTTTATTCCTTATCAAACATCTTTCTAAGACTTATTCATCTTTATTTATTTTTCTAGATTCTTAGAAATTATTTTTTCTTTAATAAAGTCTCTCTATTTAATTTATTCATCATTCAAAAACATTTGCCTAGACTTGGCTTAAATTTGCATTAAATTACAGAGCTCTCCCTTAGATTTTTCCAAGCCCCAAAAAAAATCTGTAGTTTTATGTGACAGTCTTGAGCAATTATGTATGCCAAGTGTTTGCCGGGGCTTTTCCATTAAAATCAACCAATAAATATCCAGAGCGGTCCCCAAACAGTCTCCGGCGGATATTAAACACTTAAACGCTGGCATAATTTTTACCCAACCAGGCGGTGCCCGGCATAGCGACTAAGTATTTAATTTAATGCGGCATTCCCGCACCTTACTGCCCGTCCGAAAATACCACTCCGAGCAGAAGCTAAGCTGGAAACAAATAAATTGAGCCGGAGGGTTGGAAGCTGGGGCAGAGACAGTTGGACAGACAGGCGTTGGAGGGTTTGCGAGTCGAGGAGGAGCTTCCCCACATAGTAGTGGTGGCAAATTAAAGATTAAACGCTGGCAAAAATATTCTCGGGGTCAGTCTAGTCCGCTGGAGGGGCGCCCCAAAAACAATGTCTGACTAGACTGGCAGACAGTTGGCAGATGGCAGACAGGAGTCGGGGATCGAAGGCTGGGGGCCAAGTCAAACAAAAGCTAAATGAAACGGTGGCACGCTTCTCCACACTCGATCCCCATATATTTTGTGAAGCTGAGGAATGAAGCAGTCAAAAGGTCCAAACACGACTCCCAATTTATGCGCATTATTAAAGCAAACGCATGAAATACCAGAGGAATTCTCCCCCCAGCCGCCTCCAAAAAGGTGACTGCCCATGGATGGCCCTACTATATAATCCTCCCCCTTCAGCCATGAAAATACCATGGAGCACGTTTATAGGTGTCCGAAATGGACATTTATTTATTTAGATTTTAGTTGAAGACAACAGGGGGCTACGGGAGTTGGAGTTGGGGTTGGTTTTGTTTGTTTTTAGGGTTTTCTTATTTGTATTACTAAATCAAGTGGGGTTTGTAAATATATATACCTGGAAATGTGTCTGACTGATGACTTAAAAATTATATATTGATATATAGAAGAAATACTCATAAAACCCTTTAATACCATTTATCTAAATGTTTAATTTTGTGTACAAAAACCAAACCCTGTGGATAATCTATTTTCCATTTAAAATCTGGTAAAGTCATGGAAAAAGTCATTTGCCCTCCACCGCTTCATTAAGTCCAACATTCTGTGGTAATAAAATGAATTTATGTACACCGCCAATACCAGAAATTATAAGTTTTTAATAATGCCCCCGAACCCAAACAGCCTCTGTAATGAGGCCTTGGTGCAGTGTGTCGCATTAAGTGCGCGCCATTTGAACGGGGCCAACAACAATGGCCGAACTGGGCCAAGATGGCCAACACAATAGGCATAAAAATCAATTATGAACCATTAGACGGGCCCAGAGAGGCACACAAAAGGGCCAGACCAAGCGAAGGTCATAAATCATCTGGCCGGGCTGTTGCTCCTTCGCCAAGGATACCACTGCTCCATCGTCCAGCCCCACCCCCGACTCTCCAGTTGTTCGCGCATTAAATATTTATTTAGCAAGATTTTAATGGAGCCAAATAAGTTAAGTGTGCAAAGCAGTCCGTGGGCCCAGAAGGCAGAAGGTGGCCCAAACACGTGTTCTCTTCAGACTCTGAATGTAGGATCCTTGGCAAAAGGAAATGGACTGGGAGGAGGCAGCCAAGGCCTGTGTTTTCTGTATTTGACAGCTGTAGACACAGGCTGTAGGCCTGGCTAAGAGGAAAGACTGCTCTGCGCCAGACAAATTCGTTTCATTCGTGCGGAAATTAAATGCATATTTGACCTATTTAAATTTTGAGCTGGAGTGTCGAGTCGGAAACAAGCTTGACTGAAATTTAATTTATTGTGAAAGATTTTTCAAATCGTTGAGCTGGCAGAAGCAGTCAAATGATGTTGGACACCAGCAACAGATGATGTCAGATTTTTAAGCGACTATAAGGGAGGCAGTCTGAATGTCCGGAATTTTATGGTATAAGAAATAAAAATTAAAGCAGAAGTATTTTAAAACCCTTCTAAACAAAACCTAGACATTTTAAAGAATATTTTCTAAAATTTGTCCAGGACCATTTTAAGCTATTCATTTTAATTTATATAATCCCTCCATCCTGAAAGTAATACTACCAATTTAATTGGCTCAGCCTCCATCCCCCCAAAAAGCAACCCCTTGAAGGTATGCACACCTGATTCCTATCCTCCACGAGTCCCCCTAAATTACCACAAGTTGCTCATTAACCATAAAAATAGTCACATCCAGGGCCAAGTGGCAATTAAACGGCCGAAACACAGCATAATCAGTCATAAAAGTCTTTTGGGGGAAAGAATGAGAGCCGTGACAACGTGAGCGGCAAGTAAAATAGGTGGCAGGGAGACACCTCCAACTTCGCCTCGGATTCCAACTCCACCTTGGGGTCCGGACTACGGATACTTTTGCCAAAAGTGTCATATGACCAAATTGGAGAATGTTCGACATGCGGGAACAACTTTTATGATTGCTAATTAAGCTAAACGAGCGGTGATCCTTGACAAGAGCCCAGAGGTAGGCAAACTAAATTCTCTCCAATTAGGAAGATATTTCTTTTGTGCGGCTGCTTTCCATAAAAACAGAAATTAAAGTGGAAACTTGGAAGCTATAGAAACGCGAACCGCCAGACTGTTTTTGAATTTTCCCTGCGGATATTCGGAAAACATCAACAATAGCGAACTCATCATGAGCCTCATCTGCATTCGTTGCCAAAAGTTATTGCTGCCGGCGGCGAAATGCAAAAGCCCGAAATTCAGCAAATGGCAAATTGCAAATTGCATGTCAAAAATAGTCACATTGCGACTCTATCCTCATGAAATTGTTGATAAATAATCGTCGGAAGTGGATGGTGGAGGAAAAACAGATCCATGCTGTGTGGATTGCTTCAAACTGTTTGGTTTAATGGCCGATGCTCAGATTGGCAGCAAACAGACGTCTACAGAAATATATATATAGTCAAGACAAAAAAGAGCCAGGCAGACGGCTAAAAGAAAACGCATTACATGCAACTAGACGGAAAGTTTCGTCTTTGAAACTGAAATTATGCGTTTGCTTAAGAAATCAAAAGATGAATGATATTATTTTTATAGCCGATATCTGTATACTCTTTATAACAGGTTTACAATTCATCTTTGTCCCACTTGTCCCAGTCGTCTATATCTTCCTCAAACTCCTCGACGTCATCCTCCTCTTCATCTGATCTTTTGATGCGGTCAGGATCTCTGTGAACCCGACAAGTATTCAGGCACTCTTCTTTGGTATAGAAACGATTTGGATTTCCTCCACAGCCTCCGTAGTAGAAGAAGATGCAGCGATTCGTCAGATAATCATAGCCCCAGACTTTGACATTATCCTGGCAGGGGCCTGGATTGGCTGGATACCAGCATTTGGCTGAAATCACATATATTTCTTAAGTGTTTACATATTTAAAGGATTAGAAATATAACTTACGCTGCCTTAAAACCACTCCTTGAGGGCGAACAGCCGCTAGAGGATCAAATAGTATCAACAAAATTACAAAAAATAGATGCATTGTTATTTTAAAACTTATTTGGAAATCAGTGTATATTTTTTTGACACAAAACCCAAAGCTTATGGCTTAAGAAATTTGAAACTACCCTCAAGTCTAATTTACCCTTTCAAATACTCTTTTAGAAAGTATAGGCTAGCCAAAGCTATGCCAGAAATGCCAGCATTTTCCCACGTCTATCCTCCTCAGGGCCCTCAACCTTTCCATCTCTCTCTTCTGGGGTAATGCCATCTCACTTCCTTGGGCAAAAATGTGAGCAAGTCGCACTTACAACTCGCCGAGTACTTCATCATTTTTATTGCCACGAGAGTGACTTAAGAGAAGAGCAAAGAACTTTATATATTCCATTTTGACATTTTTTTTCATCCTTATTTGACTAACGATTTGATGACGTTGATGGTCCTTTGAGATGCAACTGCATATATTTTTGAGCTTAAAGCTACCAGATGCCAGATTCCTAGGGCCAAAACGGAAACGGAAATGAAAAACCATAATGTATATTTACAAGCTTTGCCAACTTTTGGCTTCCGCCCACTTTTATCTTCTTTAAGAAATCGATTTAATTTCATTTGCAAAGCGATTTTCACTTAAAATGTGATTACGCAAATTTTCAATTTGAAAACGATAACGTAAATTGGCATCAGCCTATGGGGGGGTAGAAAATGTTTTGCCAATGGAGTTTACCCCCAAAAATACAAAAAAAAACTCCATGCCTTTGCCAGCCCAGAGGAAGCGATTCGAAAATTGTTTTACACAAGAGCCCAGATAAGCCAGGCAGCTCTTTGTCTCGCGGGTATTAACTGTCTCGGCATAATTTTTTATTACGTGTTCAAGGTGAAATGGAGGTAGAGACAGGCTGATCCTATCAATGGAAATTTTAAATTAATTTTAATGCAGATGATGGAGCTTCCACCCGATGGAGAAATGGATAAAGTCATAGGAGTTAGGAAAATGATAGAAAAAGAATGAAACAATGCTGGAACTTTAACTCTAGAGTTTAGACTCTAGAGTACAGAAGTGAATCCCAAAAATCAAATACTGCCCACAGTTGTCCACCAGAAACCGAAAAACTAAAACATTTGTCAGCAACCACTGCCACAATTTTCAAATCCCTATCCGCGGGCGGCGACACTACTGCATTTGCCAATGGACGCGACACTTAATTAAGTTTCAATATTACTCGATCCTGTGTGCTATCCTCAAAATCATCAAACCATCGCCACAGCAAAGCTCAGTGGCAACCACTAAAGTGGTTTGTTCGGTCCACTGACCGCAGTTCACTGGCTTGTAGCAAGAGGTACCCTTTTTGCAGTTGATTTCTGTTCACTGATTATCCTCGCAGTGACAGCCCAAAAATTACACAAACCGACGCCGATGCGAATGCCAAACGTAACAAATTTTTTGGCTATATTTAAATAGTTTCAATGAGAGGTAGTGGGAGTGGGTAGTGGAATTCCATGGGGGCAGGAGAACCCTCATCAACTTCCGCCAGGATGTCAAAGTTTAGCGAATGTCGGAGGATTGCTGTGACTGTGGGTTAAACCGAGCGCAAAAGTGTCAAAATGTTTAACATATGCCCACACGAGACACAATACAGGACCTGCCGAGTGTCCTGTCCCAGTTTGTTTGTGTTGCTGGTGTTGCTGGCTGGTGTCGCCGTTTTGCAATGACAGCGTTGATAACAATGACAATAACAAGCGGTCCGAGCCCTGGGACTTGTTGGTGTTGTTGTGATTAGTTCAGGACAGCAGCTGAACCTGGAGGGAAGCCAAGGGAAAGGATATCCTCCCAGAGCTGTGTTTTGTGAGTAATCACATGAAATGGGCTGTTGACCTGTTAGGGGCTGACTCTGATGTCGGATTGCTTGGATTTGATGGATGCCAGGGGAGTCTTGAATGTGAAGGGGTTGCTCTCGAGGCAAGTCAAGTTTACATTTCCGGATAACGTTCGAGAAATATTTAAATATATTTTTAAAAAAATATTACTTATTTTCAGAACTTTCTAAGATATATGCACATATAGTCTTTACCCCCTGGCAATCTTCATGTTTTATCAAATCTCTTTATGGCATTTTATTAATATTTTACCCAACTTTTGTTTTCTTTTGAATTCAAGATAAGGTATCTGAAAAAGATAATGCATTTCGGAATGAATACATTACTGGACTCTGTTCACAGTTCACTTAGAGGTCTCCAACGAAGATGTCTGCTGAGTAGTACGATTTTATTCTTCTGGAAAAGTAAAAATGTTTCATCAAACTTTGCTTTTAGTGATCAAGTTTCGCCAGTTGTGCAAACCACCCACGGAAAAGTACGTGGAATTCTCCTGAAAGCCCTTTATGGCGAAGAATTCTATGGATTTGATGGAATCCCGTATGCAGAGCCTCCTCTGGGAAACCTACGATTCAAAGCACCTCGGGAAATAAAAGCCTGGACCGGAATTCTTGATTGTTTCCAGCCCCAAAGTAAATGCATCCAAGTTAGTTCTTATACAAAACAGGTGGAAGGATCAGAGGATTGTCTATACCTGAATATTTCGGTAAAAAAGGTAGGTTTAATTTAAGTTTTAAAAAATTTTATTTTTATTAATCTTTATAATTCTCTTAAGCTAAAGTCCAAGTCACCTCTACCTGTAATGGTCTACATACATGGTGGTCAACACAAGGGTGGCGATGCTTCAAGACGTGCTTGGGGTCCAGACTATTTTATGAAAGAAGATGTCGTAATTATTTCCATAGGCCATCGTCTAGGGCCTTTTGGTGAGACTAAATTCAAATATTTTTCAAAGCTGATATAAAAAGTTATTTTTTTCAGGCTTCCTAACTTTTGCAGATCCTTCTTTAGAGGTTCCTGGAAATGCCGGATTGAAGGATATCATTCTGGCCCTCCGTTGGATCAAGAAAAATGCCGAAAATTTTAATGGCGACCCTAATAATATTACAATTTTTGGTCACAGTTCTGGAGCAATGATTATAAACATACTCCTGGCCAGTCCCCAGACCAAAGGGCTCTTCCACAAAGCCATCCTAATGGCTGGATACTCTATGGAAATGAATAGACTACCTTACGTCGAATTCCGATTGGCCAAACACTTCGGTTACGAGGGCGAGAATGTCGATAGCCAAGTATACGAGTTTTTAACTAAAATAGATGGATCGCAACTGGCTTCTGCAAATATATTCACGGAGATGGAAAAGGCTCAGAATTATACCATGGCCTTTGTTCCATGCGTAGAGCCGTATTCTACACCGGAGGCAGTAATACTGGCGGAGCCCAGAGAACTCCTTCGGACCACTTGGAGCAATCGTATTCCCATTATGTTGGGTACCCCCAGCAGCGATGGATTAATACATTTAACTGATTTGTATAAAAATCCTGATCAGTATCTAAAACTGTTTCAGAATTATCCAGAACGCATTTTGACTTCCACTTTGAAAAACCATTGCGATCTGAAACTGCAGCGTGAGCTGGCCATCTCACTATTGGATCATTTTTGCCAGGCCCATGGAAAGGACTTGACAATGGAGAATTTCTATGCTTTGTCTAAGCTTTTTACTCACAATATCTTACATACCCAGGATCGACTAATCCAATCCAGATTGTCCTACGCCCAAGCGGACACATATGCCTATCGTTTTGATTTTGATTCGCCTGATTTAAATTTATACAGAATTCGATTTTTTGCCAATGATCGCCGAGGAGCTTGTCACGTTGATGAGTTGTGTTATATGTTCGTTATTCCAGCCACCATTAAGATGGATACATCCCGACCAGAATATACAACCATCTGTAGAATGGTTAATATGTGGGTTCATTTCGCAGCCACTTCTAATCCAAATGGTCCACTTACCAAGGATCTGGTAGAGTGGATGCCTGTAAGTCCAGAAGAAACTAGAATGGTCCTAAACATCGGTGAAGAACTGGAGTTTATACCACAGCCAGAGTTTCCAAAATTTGAGTTTTACAATCGTTTATTTCGTCTAGCGGGGGTGCCACTTGTTTAATGACCCATCTTTAAATCAAGCTAATCTTATCGGAATAAAAATTATTATGACTAGAAATTTGTTTTATTAGAGCAGTGTGCTAAAAATATTTCTTATCCATATAATAAAGTCGTCTAAGCCTTGAACTCGTTAAAGTGTTTTTCTTTTGAAAGATTTAAGCAAATAATGCTAATTAACCAACACTCAGGCTTCTGCTCAAACCGTTTCCCGAAAATATTTTCATTAGGTGTCTGGGTAGACGCCACTTCCCACACCAAGAAAATGTTTTTCTTTTTAGCGAAAGGAAATTCTCCAAATTACATAAAATTCTAGGTTCCATTCATGGCCTCGCCCCGGTTGCGCCTTAATGTTCAACTTAATTTAAGTGAACGAGTTAACAAGCAACCAAAGGAATTTGATTTATCGCCGGCGAAAACTTTTTCGGCTTGATGAGCTTCGCCAGAAGTTTTTGGGGATAGGGGCGTGGCCACAGAAAAACGTCTGCTGCACTTTGGGAATCCTGAATCCTTTCTACTTGGCCAGTTTTCTTTCGCCGGCTTTTTCGTGGCTCAGCAAAACGCTATGCAAAATCGCCCACTAAACTTTAATGGCCTGACATTGAGGCGCCGCCGTCGTCATGTCCGCCATTTGGGCGCCAAAAGTTGCCACATGCAACTTAAAGGGGAGGGCCACTTTAATTGCTTAGCGTGCCATGTGAAAATGTTTGGGAAATTGGTTTAGGGCCACTTGTTTTTTTCACCCTATTTTTATACCCTGGCAGAGGGTAATATTATTTTAGTCAAAAGTGTGGAATCAAATTTTTTTGATTATAATTTTTATAATCTTAACATTCATATTTCCTTTTTATACTCTTTAGGCCGCCTTTTTCAAAATTTGTATTAACTTCAAGGGTATATCAACTTCCTCTAAGTCTGATGAAAGCTCTCCTGCTTCGTTTTATTTTATTTTATGCTTTGTTTTATTAAACACGAGCAACCGATTTGCAACCAACTTCCAAAGGATTATATTTGGGAATTTACCTTAGGGTTGGTCAGTTTTTTAATATTTACTTTCCATTAATATGTTGGAAAAGGAGAAACTCGTCTAGAGGCGAAAGCATATGTACTTGAGCACACGCTTTTTAAAAGTTGGGAGTATCCACTATATGGTGTATCTCTTTGACATTGAAAAGTCGAATTATGAACTCGAATTTCAGCATATACAGGTCTTAATTTGATATGGCACTAGTCGGAAGGAACAAGTGGATTTCGTATGTTTCCATATCAATATGCAAAAGAGGTTTAGCACAGCCGTGCTTCGAGTGAATGTGAAGACACGAGCCACAGAAAGGGGAAATCCTGGCGAGGTAGGAACTCAGGGCCCAGGACACAAGTGGCTAGACGTGACGAGCATACATTAAGCTCGGTCTGGCCACCATAAATGCAAAATGTATATGTGTATGCATCAAGTGCAAAACACGCCATAGAGGCAAAAAAAATATGTACAAGTGCGTGCGACAGCTTAAAATGCAAAAACGTATGAACAAAATATTCAATCAGACGGGAAAAAATGCGTGCTAAAAATTGCGAAATATTTTTAGAGCTGTCCAGACAAATAGAAATACAAAATACAAAGATCAGGATATTTCAGGGAATTGAATAAATACTTATACAAAAATAAAAGCAGCTTATGTGTGAAAACATTGAATATGCTCTTTATATAAATTCTGGCTGAAAAGGCAAAATAAAGCTTTTCAAAAAGGCTTAAAATACAAAATAGAAATACAAAAGAATGTGCACAAGTCTGCATTTTTAAAGCATAAAGTAACTCGTTAGAGTTAAGGAAAATAAAATATTATCCGAATTTAATGCATAATATTAATCTCATGCTTATTTCATTTGAATGAAGTCGAGAGGTAAGCTGGTAAGAAAAAACTCTTGAGAAAAATCCATTTGTTGTGCAAAATTCAATTTATATTCGATTACCCGACGATGTCTAAGTAGAGAATGGCTCAAGTGCTTCGGAGCGCAGCTTTTTTTTTACTTTATTTTATTTTTTAGCTGGAAGCGCATTGAGAATGCCCTGTCATGCGTTAAAATTGCAATTTCTTTGCCAAGGCAGGCTAAGAGAACGCAAACCAAAGTTGATAAATGAAAAATATAAAAAGCCAAAGAGAAAATCAATCTTAAATCTACAAAAATCCGAAAAAAACGGGCCTGCCACCTTGATCCCTTCTAATTGTAAAACACAAGGCACCAACAAACATAACAATCATAGTCAATTGTTGGCAGTTAAATATTCATGAGCCGAGTGAGAAATAAAACCGAAAATAGATATCCCCAAACATGGCCGATTGGGGGGAAAAAGGCAAAAAAAAAAGAAGTATCCCATGGACATGAGCGCTGATTGCCCACATGACGTGCATAGAAAATGCCTCCAACAGCTACCTCCGGGGGGATACTCCCTTTATAGCATAGTATTCACTGTATTCAATACTGTATTGGAAAACGATTTCGATACCGATGGCTGCTGGCAAACAGACAAAACAAAGACAGGCCCAGCACTTGCGAAAATTTCATTGCAAATGAAACGAAAAGCGTTTTATTTTGATTTTCTGCACACGCTCGATTCGATGGGTCTAGTCGGTCTGGTGGTCTGGCCGAATCCTCTTCAAAGGCAAATGTTTTGCCACTTTTTCCGTTTCTGTTTCAATTTTCATTTACCAAGAGTTTCCTGCTTTTCAACGCTGTTTACGTGGCCAATTTTGTTAAGGCAGCGAAATGAGGGGCCGGAGGATTTGGTTAACCGGAAATGAGGGTTAACGCCACATGTTGACAGCTTTCTGCTTTTGGGGGCTTTAAAATTTAATCAAGTAAATTAGGTTGAACTAAGAGATAGTAAATCTACTTTTAAGACTTTCTAGCTTTCCCAGACTTTCTAAAATACCTTTCATAATAAATTTTTCATTAGCCAAACTCTCATATATTGACTTGTAATCGAAAACATTTTAATCCGTCCCTAAACCTTGACTTTTTGAAGCACTTAAAGGAATTAATAAGTCACTCTGTTAAGGATTCCAAAGACAATTGTCATTACCTCCCCAGAGCAAAAATGTCCTTTCAAAAACAGGATGAGAAAAAGGAGAAGACTGGATGCAACAGTCGTCTGATATGTCTGGGTCTAAAATGCTTTTCATGTTGTAAGTCCACAAGTTTTCGGGGAACTCCACTCAGGCGGACAAATAACTGAGCAGCACACAAAACACGAAGGAATCGAAGCCTGGCTGGAGGAATGTCAAAGTGAAACAACTCGAAAAATATCAACTTATGTAAATTCGTATAAGCAGGCAGGGGAAAGTTGGCACTATTTGTATTGACAGGACCAAGGACTGTCTGTAGTCCCTCAAGGAATGGCGGGCATGTTTGCTTCTGCTGAAATGAGCAAAAATAATTGCAAATCGTAAACGAGAATTTTTCCAGGCGGCTGTCGTCGCCTATTCCATATGTGCAAGGACTCTGGAACAAAAAGAAAACGTGGGGTCTGGGCTGTTTAAGGACTAGTCTGACAGGACAGAAGGAAACGGAAATATGCAATGAAGCAGAAGTTGGCAGGAAATTGTTAAGACGCCGCGCCTCTCCTTCGTTCATTCGCCCGGCTCTCGTTTTACAACTCTACTTTATTTTCCATCATCGAAAGGGTTCCCCGAAGGTCTCCCCCAGCGTTTTATGTTCTTAGAGGAATTGAAAAGCCGCATGCAAATAAAATTTGCCTTCTTTTTAGTGTTGTCCTATAACCCGACTCACTCCCCCGTGGCTTTCTCTTTTCCGTTTCCGTATTCATTCTTTGTGTTCTTGCGGTTTTTATTTTTTCTTTCAATTGAGTACTTCCCTCTGTATGTTTTTAAAGAGTTTTCCGGGTTTTCCTTTGTTTTTTAGCCAAAAATGTGTGGAACATTTATAAGACAGGCAAATGATGATCTATTGCCGAAGCCGCACCCAAGGGATCCATGACGCATATTGGAATCCAGTTTCTAGAAAGAATAAAATATGAAACTTATTTGGTTAAGTACAATTATTTTAACCTACTCTCATGTTTACCATTTTTCATTTTGACCCACTTATGGCTCATAGATCATAGTCATCTATAGAGAATAAACAAGGTTGAATAATTTTCCAAACTGTCTTCATAAATTTTAACCAGCTAGTAGAGTTTCTGGCCAAATGCGAAAAGTTGGCTCCAACATGTGCCAAAAAAGGAACACAAAGTTACTCAGACAACTTTTGAAATAAAGTAAACAATAAAATGTGCCAATTGTAATTATGTGCCAAGAGAATATAATTACGAAAAGCTTGGGAACTTTTTCTGGGCAAACCATAAAATTCCGAAAATAATGGTGAATAATTTTGCTTATTTAGGTTGACAATAGGACCTCAATTATTTGCCCATTTAATTATTTACCATTCCAATGAAACTATGTTGTTATTTTGTTGAGAATTTTCCGTAACAGTCATTGCTGATTGAATAATAATAGTCACATTAATATGATGCACAAAAAAATATGGTAAAAAATGATATGCAATTTTAAAATGCTCACCCATAGAGGGTATAACGATTGATATGGGAACCACTAGTGAACGGTGGGTGGTAAGTGGTGGTGGGCCGCACGTGCCATGGATAGTCTGCACGCGATTCCACCCCAACCACAATTCTCCGCTTCTCCTCTTAGTCTGCCGCCTGTCGCCAAAAAAGTGGCTGGAAACGTGATGAGCATTTCAAATCGGGGTTGACGTCGACTGCATTCCCATCATCCGGATCCAACCAGGTGCGAGCTGCATCCACCTATCTCTGCCCCTGGATTCTGGCCCTACCCAACCCCAGCTTCACTTCGCACCTGCCCAAGAGGCACGAGCAACATGAAACGCTTGCACTTTTGTTTATGTCCTTCAGCCAGGCGCGAGAAATTGAAAAAGCGAGGGGGGCAGCTCAAGTGAATGATTGGGGGTGCAAAGAGGGCTCGAATTCCATGTTAAGTGGCCAAATGTCTCTTGAGTTGGCAAGGGTAGCTTTGGCTA